TATTTTAATTTTATATGTTCTGGTTTGAGGATTTTGACCTTTGTTTAGGTGGTTTTGGTCCATATTAAAAGGGAAACTCTATGAAATTTTTTATAAAAATGTGTCACAGTTAGAACAGGTCATAGTCGTCTTGGTGGTGGGTCCGGCACTTAGCTGGTATCTATCATCGGTACACGACACGTGTCAGGTCTATTAGGTTGACTTGGGACGGGTCGTGACATTCTACTTGCTTAGCTCTTCTAGAATTTTCCGCATCCACATAGCTTGACAAGCACATCTTATTGCAGCAACAAATTCAAATTTATTAGTTGACGAAGTGGCAATTGATTGCTTCTTGGATGATCACAAAATAGCCCATGTATCCAGCATAACAAAATAACCCGAAGTGCTCATTCTATTATCTGAATCTCCTGAATGACTGACAGTAAACTTGAACAGATCTGATTATCTACTCTTCTTGTAGAATAACCTAAAATATTTGGTTCCCTACAAGTAACGAAAGATTCTTTTAGAAGCTAACATATGCATCTTTGTTGGATTCTCCGTGCATCAATTGGAGTGCCTACAAGTTGCAGCTGAGCTACTGTCTTGTTAAATCTGGAGCAGCTGAGCTTCTTTTAATTCTAGAGCAGTTGGAGCATAGATGAGCTCTAATATAAGCCCCCCATGGGAAATCGAGTGAGGGCGCATAGATTTAGGTTTGTTTTATGATTAAAAATTAAAGATATGGAAATTGTGAAGTTTTTCTATTGGAGTTTTGGCAGGTTTGTCCCTTTTTGGGGTTCTGGGATTCTGTTTTTGTGACTCAGGTATCCAACTTCGCCCGACTAATTTTGAGAAGTGGCAACTTTCCCCCTGATTCACCACTCGGATAAATTTGAATACAGTCACAGTTTATGGCTGGACATTTGGGAAGTGGTTTTCCTTCCTGTGGACCTCTCTTTACGACGTGCGGACAGGACCTCCGAAGGGACGACAAAGCGCACCATAACTTTGCCACCACAGGACATCTTTCTTCCATCATAAATGTTGCCTTTTAGCTACCGTGAGGATTCAAACTTCCGATGCTCAACTTTTTGTTTGAAAGAATAAAGAAGTTTTCGATGAATTTTCAGTCGGAAAGGCCACTTCAATTGGAGATTACTAAGATTTTCAAGAGTATCAGTCCTAATTTTGCCTTGATCTGAGGCAGGGTTTTAGCCTTTTAAACCTTTAATTTTCAAATCTTTTTTTTTTCTTTTTTTTGTGCTAATGGCCTTTTATAAACAATTTTTAGGATTTTTTTAGTCAATGTGTGAGTGAAAACATACATCATTAAGCTGTAATTCATAATTAACGAGTGATAATTTTTTTTTTTTTTATAACCGTGGATGTTCGAGTCAGCTTACGCGCACCTCGACTAATCTCACGGGGCCCTGAAATTTACAACCGGGTACTCACCCAAAACTTGACAAATTGAACAACCCCTCAAGATTGCTAACGTGTGATAAAATTAAAGACAAAGAGAAGTGTATGCTGCAGAATTAAAATTCAAATTGTATAATATTAAGGATGAAGGCTTTATATTTATAATATGGGACAAGGATTACGCTAGCAAAAAGATCATCCATAATTATTTGTTCATGATTTTTTGTAATATTTGCGTGAGAAAAAAGATGATTACGACAAAAATTATATAAATGACTTGATAGAAACTAGTAAGTAGTGAATTGTGTGGTTTGACAATTTCTACGTGCCTCAATTATAAAATATTATTTGTTTTCTAAAAAACCCTTTATCAACATCTATATTGAGACATTTTATTCCTTAGATGCCCCTCCTACCATATTCTTTCGATAAAACAAACTAATCATAGTACATGAACGTCAAAATTGACATAAAACTTGACATGATGTCATGTGGCATTCTATCATTAGACAATTTAAAATACAATCAAATTTTATATCAAATCATTTTAGCAAAGAAACTTTACCCAAAATAAAAACCCTTTCTCATGGCGTCAATCAATGGCTCTACTTTTGTAAGTGTTTGACACCCATTTTTGTAGAAAAATGTGTTTTCGAATAGTGATTTATGGAAGAATGTGTGGTTCAAAAGTAAGGAGAATTTTTAGATTTATGTGTAATATTATTTTATTGATAGAATGTGTGGTTGAAATGAAGAAATAGAAAAAAAATGAGAATGAGAAAAAAAATGGGTGCCAAACGGGGGCATAAATGGCAAAATATATTTAAAAAGAAAGAAATAAGTATTCTCTTTAAATGGGCAATAACTCATTGATTTGAACCACTCACACGCAGAATTCCAAAGCCCGCAATAATGGATTCCGATTCCGGAGCCGAAAACGCTAAATTGCATGTTGTAATGTTCCCATGGCTGGCCTTTGGGCATATAATTCCATCTTTGCGCTCACTAAATCCATAGCTCAAAAGGGTCACAAAATCTCATTTGTTTCCACTCCAAGAAATATTGATCGTCTCCCAAGAATACCTCTCCATTTAGTTTCATCCATAACACTACTTAAGATTTCACTACCTAAAGTTGAAGGGCTCCCCGAATCTGCAGAGGCAACCATGGATATCGGCAATGAAGATATTCCCTATTTGAAGAAAGCATTTCATGGGATGGAAACTGGGTTGACTCGTTTCTTGGATGAGTCACGTCCAGACTGGATTATATACGATTTTACTCCACACTGGTTGCCTCCAATTCCGGCAAGGCTTGGAATTTCTCGTGCCACTTTTCGGGCAGTCAGTGCATGGTTTTTAGCTTTTTTTGGACCATCAGAGACTATGATTAACGGCCTAGATGAAAGAAAAAAGTGGAAGACTTCATGATCCCTCCAAATTGGTTTCGATTTGAGACGAAAGTGGCTTATCGACGCTATGAAGTACGCTGGTTTGTTGGGTCAACTCAGAAGAATGATTTAGGGTTTTCAGATGCATACGATACTGGTAAGGTAATTGATGGATCCGAGGTTATTTTTCTAAGACACTGCCACGAGTTTGATTCGGATTGGTTGAAA